CAGCAGGACAAGGCAATTCCTCAGCATGAGCTACGGCAAATCCCCACGAGCACCACGCTGCTAAGCCTCACTGCTACCCTCCGGAGCTGTGTCCCGGACCCCTGCCCAGTCCCCTCTGCTGTCCCCTGGCAGCAAACACAAACTCTGTGCCTCAGTGGCCAACGTCTCCCATTCTCCAGGCTTAAAATAACCAGCATCTGGCAAGCTCGGGGGCATCCGCCTTCGAAGTATTTTCACCTGTTGCGTGCGGAGATGGATGGGAATGGGCTCGCATTCAGCAGCGCAGCTGAGGAGCAGGGAGCATCCATATGGGGATTTTCCCTTCTTGCTGTGCTGTGCCCAGCTCCTGCAGCTCCCCGAGGTGTGCAAGGGCAGGGGAGTCTCGCTCCAAGGGAGCTAGGGATCTTCCCTCGGGAGGCAGATGTGAGCAGGGACTGGGTTTTTCCCTGGGAGAGGGAAATAAGACAGGATTTTCTCTGGACAACAGAAAAACCCTAAACTCAGTGTGAGGAGGACCTTTGCAGTGTTAAGTGTTTCAGTGGAAACACAAGGAACTGTGTTCAGAGGCATTTGCAGGAAGGGTGAAAAGAAACACCATTGGCCCACGCTACAGGAACATCATCAACTTGAAGTCACCCCCGTTTGGTCAGGAAGCTGGAGCAGGCAGGGGGAAACGCCAGGCATCCTGGCTCCCTATTCCTGGGATGGAGCCTTGCATGCCCCAGAGTGGGACACGACTTACGGGAGACTCCATGCTCCAGCAGAACCTGACCTACGAAGCAACAAGTGCCTGCACAGCCCCTTGAAAGGGGTATTTTAAGGAAGTTAGATGGTTTTGCCACAGCTTTTATCTGGTTGCCTCTGGGCAGGTTGTCACCATCTCCAGGACTCGCCGTGATGCGGCAAACCAGGATCCTGGTCTCCCAGCCCAGGTTGGGGCCGTACCCAGCCTTCGGTGCTTGTACAGCGAGGGGCCCAGCCTTTAATTACACCTCCGATGGCAGTTCCTGGAACCACCACCCTGCTTCCTGGCAGAACTTAATCACCGTGGCATGAGAGATAGCTAAAAGTATCATCCCTGAGGCAGGAAGAGCCCTGCCTGTCTCCAGGAGAGATCGGCAAAGCGGTGCTAGAAGCCCTCCGCATGCACGGTAAGCAAATCCCCTCCTGCAGTAAATAGCAAGGGCATGGTGCCGGAGTGTGACAGGATGAAAGGACACGCAGGCACCTGATCCTTCTGGAAAACCGGAGCTTGGAGACATCTTCCAGAAAATGGTGACTTGAAACCAGCCGTTCAAAGGCCGATTAAGAGCTAATGGGGATCACACCTCTCAGTTACAGGCTTTGCCTTTCAGTGGCCAGGAGCCCATCCGAGGTGGTGCTTACGCTGCAGGAGCCCAGCTTCCCGGCTGCCGGGGACAGGGGGCAGAGGCAAAGCCACCCTCGCACCCCATCGTACTGCCTGGGGACAGGTACCCACCGAGGGCGCACGGCCAGCGCCCAGCTCCCGAGGGGCAGGGATCACACGGAATCTCAGGGTTTGCTGAGACACACAGCACGGAGGAATCCCACAGCCACGCACATTTCCAGCTGGTGGGAACCTCCCAAGCAGTTTATCCCCTTTGCCACGGTCAGAAGCCAGACAAGCGTCACAATTAGCAGCTATTTGCAGCAGCTGAAGAGCTGTTATCAGGGACTCACCACTGCAATTACTTCAAGTGAGCATTTTAGCCATGGTCATCAAAACACTCGTCTTGGCACCCTCCCGCACCCAAGGTGCAAGGAGAGCAGAATCCCAGGGACAGATCCCTCTGTCTCAGCTGCTTTCTGCCTGGCTCAGTATCCTTTCCCCTCCTGTGCATGTCACCCACAAGGATAGCACCCCGCTGTACCCCCCTTTCCCCACCATGGGCTCCAAACCCCATCCTCTCTGGTGTCAATCAAGGTGTCAGGACAGAGTCCCCTCTCAGGTCCCATACTCTGCCTCAGAGCAGCACGCTTGGTCAGCAATGCATTTAGACATCAGGGCTGCTGGAACAGCTCATGGGCTGCCACCCTCCACTCCCACCCCTTTACCAGCTCTGAGGACTGGACTGAAGCCCCACACTCAGGTCCCACACTGTCCTCGGTGGAAGAAATCAGTGGCAGTGCCAGCCAGGCAAAGCAGAGGGACCTCCCTCAACCAGAACTGGGATCTCTGCTCTCCGAGCAGCCAGGGGACCACAGCACAAGGTGACAGTCACGAGAGCATCTGGGACAGTATATTGGGTTTGCGTGGCAAGGTTTTGATAGCGATGGCTCCAAGATGACCCCAGTGCTGCCCAAGGTGAACCCCATCATTGAGGGTGTTAGCCACTGGGATAGTGTATTTGAGAAGGAAAAACTGAAGAGCAACAGCTCTGCAGACCCCCAGGTCAATGAGAAGGAGGGGGAAGACGTGCTCCAGGTGCCAGATCAGAGGTTCCCAGGCAGCCCATGGTGAGGCTGGCTGTGTCCTGCAGCCATGGAGAATCACAGCAGGGGAGAGATCCCCCTGCAGCCCCGGGAGGACCCCACGCCAGAGCAGGTGGATGCCCAAAGGAAGCTGTGACCCCATGGGCAGCCTGCCCTGGAGCAGCCTCCTGGCAGGAGCTGTGGCCCCATGGAGAGAGGAGCCCAGGCTGGAGCAGATTTGCTGGCAGGACTGGTGACAGCGGGGAATTGGCAATAAATTAATTTTCCCCATTTTGGCCATGACAGTAATTGCTGGATCATCTCTCCCTGTCCTTATCTCGTCCCCTTATATTTTCTCTCCTGGGCCCAGCTAAGGAGCGGAGTGATGGAGAAGCTTTGGTGGGCAACTGGCCCCCAGCCAGGGTCAACCCAGCACAGAGAGGAGGGTGTTAACTCCTACAGCATCCCACCACCTCCATCCCAGCCTGGCACAGTCTGGTGGAAACATCCTGGCAAGCACTGGAGCTCTCCAGCTCAACAGCAGCATTCAGTGCGGGTGGACTAAGGGGCAGGGCCACAAACAGAAGGACCCAACATTACCAGGCTAATAGGAAACAGCTACTCCGTGTCTGTTAGGGACTGAATTTGTCTGCCTTTCCATCACGTGTGCTCTCCGGGGAGGGCTGCAGGAGGGCAGCTCCTCCGTCTTCCCTCGCCTCATCCTCCCTCACCTCATCTGGTGGCCTCCTCACTTGGAGCTGCTGATCTCATACATCTGCTAAACCTGCTACAAATGTCACCTCATCGACAGAAGCTGCTTGACAATAATAGGACATTTCAACAAGCCTCCTGCTTCTATTTAGATGCAACACACATCCTTGTTCACAGTAATGCGTGTTGAATTATGCAGCAACCAGCTTTCAATTTGCTACAAGAGGCTGAGGAGACGCAGTGCCAGACGAGGCCATTTATTTCAGCTTGCTCTCTGGGGTTTGTTTTCAAGTCAGCACAATGCTGGCTGCAACTCCCCGGAAGTATTTTTAATCCTGATAGCCATCAGAGCCTTTCTGAGCCCCTGGCTAAGCAGCCTCCTCCATAAAAGCCCCTTGTAGCTCCATGGCCATGGGACCCTCTGGCTGGAGGGCATCGCTGCCTGCAACTGGGCTTTCCAGTGCAGGGCAGCACCACAGCCCTGTATCTGCTCCTGGAGAGTTTCCCTTAGGAATCGTCTCTGCCCTTAGCAGGAAGCCTTATGCACTGAAAAAGCTGACTCAGCAAGGCAGCCATCAGGTGTCCTTGTAGGTGAAGGCCAAAAGGAGCATCCCATAGAGAGAGTCAAGGCTGAGACTCCTACCAGGAGCAGCCTGACTCGGAGATCTCTTGTCAAGCCCTGCCAGATAAGGTACTCGCCGCTCAACCCTCCAGCCTCACATGAAGAAAGAGATAAAGTATTATTGTAGCAGAAAATAAATACTGCAGAGTCCCTCCACTTCCCAGAAGGAGCTGCATTTCATCACCTCAGCCTCACAGACACCTAGCACAGAGCAACAGGGAATGAAGAGGGATATTTCAGCATACATTCCTGCAAGCCTGCACGCCCACAGACCCCCAGCTCTACCTCTATTCCCATTACTTTCCCGGGAACAGGGGTTACTGAGGAACGAGGACTGCATCCTAAATGCTGCCTAGACTGGGCACTTTCTCTGCAACAGAGCTCTTTATGGGGGTTTCCCACAGGGTCCATCCTAGAAACAGAATTTAAGAGGATAGACTGGCTCTCACATTTGGAGCTAGCTGCTTTGCAGGGAGGCTTTCTCTAGGTAAGGCTATAACCTGTTGATAAGGGAATCTCTTAGGAAAGGGTCCAAAACGGTTTCCCTCATCACTCTTTTCCTATTTCCCTGTCAGCTATCTCTTGTTTACACAGGGTCCTGTTAGAGCCTGGATTCTCCAAGCAGGCCCAGCTATAATGCAAGATTCTGAATGGAAAAGGAAGTTGAAATCAAGCTTTTCAGCAAACTTCTCCAGGTTTTTCAGAGCCAACCAGTTGTATAATTCTGCATCTGAAAAGTCACACCCCGATTTTACAACTCTTATCTCTTTGCACTTCAGCCACACAGCTCTGTTTATTGGCTTGATTGGACTCTGAGCTCTTCAGGGCACAGAGTATCTTCCTGCCATTTAAGCACTAAGGGCTGTTAACTAAAATAAAATCTTCTCTGTGATCCCTTCTAATTATGCTTTACAGTATCCGTTCCTTCGCTACGGCAGCAAGACAGACAGTGCCGGTGGTTGCGCATGCGCAGAAGGGTTTGCTTTCCTCATGGTTTCATCCAAACTCACACACAGCAGAGCTAAGAAGCTGCATTTCTGAGCTTTACTTACTTCTTTTCCCACAAGACAACCCTCTCTGACCTAGGCATGCTGCTGTGTTCATGCTAGGCCAATCCTAAAGCCCCACAAGCTATCCCCCCGCCCCGCATGCCCGGGATGGGGCCAAGGGGAGAGCTGCCTTACCGAGCTCGGCGTCAAGCCCATATTTGCTTCAATGTACGTCTCTGTCTTTGGCTCCACTGCAAGTTCAGCTTCCAAGATCTTTTCCACAGGCATGTCCTCGTTAGCACTACTTGTTGACTCCACCTCGTTCTCGTTGCGGTCCTTCCCCCGCTGCCTCTCCTCCTGGACGGCTGGAAGTGGACAGAGAAGGGACAGCATCAGCCTAAGGGTCCCAGCCACAGTGTCATGGGCTGAGCTGGATCCCTGAAGCTCCACGGAGCTGCGGGCATTCCTTAGCCATGAAAACCTAAAGCATCCTCAGTCCTTGTGTCCTGTAGGAGCACATGGACATCCGATGTCTTGTTGTCCCACCTGACCTTCCCACCAGTGTGGTCAGTGGATCTTGGGCATGGACAGTCCAAGGGGGTATGACGTTTGAGGAAGACGCTGCTCCGTATGCACTCCCATGGGAGCACAGTGAGGGAGGATCCCACTCAGACCTGGCCTCTGCCGGGAAACTCCCCTTTCTGCAGAGGGAACAGTCCTGGAAGCAAAAAAGTTAAAGCCACGTGATGAAAAGCAAAGGAAGCAACACGGCGAGTCACCAGGGCAGAGGGAAATGGATGGGTACCACCGCAGCAGCAGAAGAAACAAGGAGATGAAGTGATAGATAGGATAAGGGAACCCTAAAGAAAAGAGAAATTGGTCAGGTTAAAGCATAAATCCAGAGTTCCAACATCTTCTGAGCCTGTCAGTGCTGAATTTCTACGGAGGTCATGTCATGCATCCAACTCCCTGGCCCAGCAGCGATGTTAACGGCTGCCGCAAGGCTCCGTGGCAGGATGGAGCTCCCGTGGGACAGGAGCTGGGATCTGCTGTCAGGCGCTCTATGCAAACCACTACCCTGTCTTTGTCTCTGGGCAATTTCTAAACAGACAGGAGAGACCTGTCCCAAACCCTGTGTGGCAAGAATAATCTAGCCAGAAGCATGTCACATGCTGATGAGTTAATGTCTGAGCAGTACATGGATGAAAGACACTTATTAGGTGCCAATAACATGATTATTAACGATCTCTCTTTGAAACCAGCACACATGCTTTCCTTGAACCTGGAAAGTAGCTTTACACAGACAGTTACACCGGTGACTATCTCCTTCTCAATCATAACGTTACATCCCCTAAATCACACACTTTTCCACACACCGTTGTTTCCCACTGTACGTTTTAGCCTGGTCTAGCTGAGAGCAGCCCAAGCAACAGGAGTTTCCATCACTAGTCATGAGAGACACCTCCCTGAACTTACCCAGCTCTGTCCTAAGGGCTGAATGAGGCATTCACTAATGGAAAAGGCCTGCTATTTATTGACAATTATCCTAACACCTTACCTCTGCTGATTGTGAAGCTGGTTAGTGATGTTAAGTGAAAGCAGCAGGGGCACAGGTACTGTTCTAGGGAAATCAGAGCTGTCTCTAACACCCTAAGGCTTTTTCGGTAGGACCAGCCCTATGCCAAGTGCAAAAATAAAACCTCAAATATGATACTTATTTCTTAAAACCCAGGAAATTAAGACACATGCTAAATGAGTCCTATATGGATGTTGATCCCATTAACCTGGGGCCAATTTCCACTGCTCGCCCTCCCCTCCCGCAGCAGCCACCGGTGCAGCACTGCTGTTTGCTGCACGTCAACACCGTTCAGACTCCTTCCACGTGAAAGCTGTTATGCAGAAAAGCAAGAGGCTATTTTCTGCAAACTGCTCTTAAGTTTATGGGCTGCAGAGGCTCCCGAGGCCCACACAATGTTTTCTGCTTGGTCTACCAGAGCCAGGTAGGCTGCTGCTGTCAGAGCTCAGATTTGTGTCGTGGCTTCTGTCCATCTGGCTCTTGTCTGGCACGGATTCTTCTCTTTGCTTTTTCAGGCCAACCTAAAATCCTGTTTAAATTTCCACCTCTACTCCTGCTTTCTCAGTCATCAAAAGCCTAGAAATTTTTGCTTAATGGCAACCTTTCTTCAGCAGCACAGATGCACCAAAACTCCTTTGGGCACATTAGAAGAGATGAAACACCTACTAAATAACAGAAAAGCCTAAGAGAAAGGCAAACTCCCAACAAATGGGATTTTATAGGATGACTTAAATGTCGAAGATCTGACGCGCAGTCGCGGCAGGTCTCAAGGATAAAGGAGCAAAGCATGGTTCCTCGCTCTGAGATCAACCACACAAGGACAGGCTCCCCCGCCGGGGCCACTCCAACCCATCTCCTCGCTCAGCCGCCAGTGACTTAGCTGGATGCTGGGATTTGTGGGAAAGCGTTGCAGAGATCTGGGGAGACAGTGGCTGCTCAGAGCCATAAATATGTGCATTCAACCTCATCACAACCAACAGTCGCATTCTTGGGGCGAAGAATCAATGCACCTGAAGGGTTACAGGAGAGTGAATCGCACAGGTCATCACCGCAGCATTTGCTAGCGATTAGGCTGCATCTAGATTATATAAACGATAGATGGAAGAGACAGATGGCAAGAGATTATACATGTAAGTAGTTATTTCCATTGATCTGTGCTCTGAGCTGCTACACCAGAGAGTTGGTGCTGCTGCTCGCAGGGGAGCTGGTCAGCAGAAAGCTGACTCATCCCAGCCTGCCCAGCCCCACCAGAACCCCGACCCAAGTCCCTGCCCGGCTGGCTGCTGGCAGCAGGGACACACCAGGCAGAGCAGATGGCGAATCCGCTCCGAGCACGCCAGCGCCAAAGATAAACCAAGCCATGGCCAGGGGGAGCGTTACCTGCTTTACTACCCCCGTGTTTCCAAGACCAGAGAGTCCTCTCTAAAGCCAGTGCAAGCCTGGCATCGCTCTGCATTCCCTCCCTGCAGCTTGGATGACCTCCATCCATCCCCTGTCCCCGGCTCTCTGGTCTGCTGGAAAGCAATGCCTGTTTCCCAACGCTGAGCTCAGAGACCCATCCTCCTCCCTGCCCACTCGGAAGCAGCTTCACGCACAGGGCTCCACCGAGGTGTGCATCCGCAGGACGAGGGGACCGCACCACGTCAGCTCCAGCTGCTGCTGGCTCGCAGGACTTGCGTCACCAGGCGTTTGTGAACCCAACCTGCTCCTCAGCTGGAAACGGTGCAGGACACCCGCCCAGCCCTGGCTGCAGCTCTTGGGGCTGCCTGCGAGGCAGCAGCTCCTCTAGATGTTGCCTCAGTTGTAGATGCTATTTTCTCTCCCTACGGGCAGCTGGAGGAATGAAGTGGGAACAGATTCCTTCTTTGTGTGAGCAACAGGTTCGCTCCTGCAACGCTCTGTGCCTGGCCCTGGGGTGCAGGTGTCAGCGCACACACGAACCTCCCTCCGATGGCCATCTTAGTGTCACCTCTTCCAGGTGTATCCCTCCTCAGGATCCAGAGGGTGAATTCATTTCAAACCTAGCGTCTCCACTTCCCTAGTTTCGGGTTCACCCTGAAGCATCACACAGCTCCAGGGGTGGCAAGCCCCACACAGTCCTGAAAGGTGCAGGGATTTGCAGATGGCATTCCAGGCTCTTGTAATCCGTGGGTTCCAAGACACGGACAACCCTGTGGATGCGGCCATCCTTGCAGCCAGTGCTTCAGAAGCTCAGCAGAACTGAGAGGACATCCAAGGTGGAAGGGGGAGGCAAAAGGGTCAGCTTCTGAGTGACATCCTCCATGTCTCTGACCTCCACGGGTAGATGTCTGCAGCTCACCGCAACCACTATTTCCCTAGACCTGCCAAGGACCTGGCAAGTCAGTGCTCCTTCTTGGTAGAGATGCTGAGGGACACATCCCCATTTCAGGAAAGAATGAGGCCTGCGTTTCTTGAGATGGAGGAAAAAACAGCAGGTGGGGTAGGGGAAGGGAAGAAGGAGCAAGGATTCAAGCAAAACAGCTCTTTTTTTTAAAAAAAATCATGCAATATGGGATGTTTGTGTAAAGGAGTATCTTCAGTAGTGAGGAGACCCCTCACCATACAGACCTTGGACCTTATTTCTGGAGTTTGCTCCCCACTCCCACTGGGGATTAGCCAAATAAACCACTGTGGAGATGACAAAAATCCATTTTTTGAATGGATCTGGTTTGGGAGCTGGGCTTCTCTGTGGCTTTGGTTTTTATTTATCTTTTTTTAAAAAAAGAGAAATACGAATGTGGAAGCTGCATGGCAGCTTGTCTGGTAGTATCGAAATGGGAATACCTTGTTCTTCTCGGCTTCCCAGAAGTCTTGTGGGCCGGGATGGATGGTGCTCCATCCCTGTAACACAGTAAAATTTAGAAACAAAGTTCATTATATCATTTGGTTCTTGTTGCTTCTGCTGGATTTTTTCTTCATGTAAACCATAAATTCACAGGCTAAAGACAAAAAGACAGAGGGATTCTGCAACTGGCTCCCCCAACCCAATTTCTCCCTTGTGGCACTATCAATGTATATTTAAGGAAAAATAAAAATCTTCAATTCTGGAGGGGCTATGAGAGACTTCCCCCTCCTGTCTCACACATGATGCTTTGCAGGATTAGCAAGGACACGCCATGGTAATTCAGGGGAGCTGGTTCTGCTGCTGGCTCCCTTCTCGTGCTCAGCATCGATGCCCCCTCCACACTGTGCCGTGCTGCTTAGCTCCGTGGGTCAGGAGACATCCAGCTTCTGTTCAAGAGGACCCTGGGAAGAGGATTAAACTACAGGCTGCCTGTGATAACAAGGCACTTGACAGCATGACCTACAAGGACCTTTCCAAACCCCAGTTGGGCTTTCTTGCTCTTACTGCAATAAGACGGTGATAATGAGGAGAAGGTCTGGAGAGCACATCCCCGCTGCTGCGGGCTGAGTGGCTGCTCGCCAGGAAGAGGGAAGGGCTGGCAAGGGCTTTGCAAGACCAGCGTGACTCCCCTGTCTCCCATCGCACTCAATTACTGCCCCAGCAGACCGGCTGCTCTGGGATGGGCGCTGGGAAGCCATCGAGAGGAGCCCGTGTCCTTCCAGCTCAGCGCTCCGGCTGCAGGCGGTAGATGAGGTCCACTCAGGACTGCTGTTCCCAACCACGCTGATTTTTCTGGTCATGAGGGTGGGACAGCTGACAGTGTGAGTCGCTTCACCTTAAATGCAGGAGGTCAGCCAAGCCCATTGCTCGCTGCACCTCACAAAACTCTCCTGCGAGGCAAAGCAGTTGTTGCACCAGCCCTG